AGCGGAGATGATAAAGAATCTGCCTGCAGTGCAGGAGACCAGGGTTCGATTCCTGGCTCAGGAAGATTCCTGGAGAAGGAAATGGCAATCCACTCCAGTACTCTTGCCTGGAGAATCCCATGGACAGAGGAGCCTGGCAGGCTACAGTCAACAGGGTCACAAAGAGTTGGACACAAATAAATGACTAACACACACACACACACAATTTAGGATTGAGACAGCCAGGAAGGGTGGCAACTTAAAATAAGAGGTTTAGACAGGAGTGTCAGAGCAATACCTTGCAGGTCCCTCTCCTTCAGTTCTAATTCCCCGGGGTCATCCAGAACGTGTACATTTTTTCATCCCTAAATTAAGACATGTGCAAGATTTAATCCATTGCAGGGAAGATTAACACTGGACTCTAGCCATTAAACTAGTGATGTCTGAGGAAAGAAACAAGACTGACACTATTGGCTAATTCTTTATTTACTACCCTCTTGACTGCCAAGACCATTTATAAGTATAGTGTTGTCTGGTTTTGAGTGTACAAGTGTCTGGACTATTAAGTAGAGAGCTGATTGTGTTAGTTTACTGTCTACATCTCTGATTCACCCACACTGGGCTCCTTTCTGATCCTAGAATATGCTAAGCATTCTCCCACCTCAGGGCCTTTGCACTTGCTCTCCCATCTGCCTATAACATTCTTATCCCAAGAATCTTCAGTGCTTGAGCCCTCACTTTAGCTGTCTGCTCAAAAGTCATCTCATCAGAAAGGCCATCCCTGACCACCTTATATAACATAATTCCCATTATTTGCTAAATCCCTTTAGCCTGCTTTGCTTTCCTTTGTAGCATTTATCATCATCTAACTTGTTATGCATTCACTTCTTTATAGATTTCCTCTGTTTCCTGACACTACAATGGTAGCACCATGATGGCAGGGAATTTGTTCTATTTGCTAATGAATCTCAATGCCAAGATCAATGGCATTGTTCAGTATATCGTGGCACTCAAGATATATTTGTTGAATAAATGAATGGGTATTTTTAGTGCTTTGAGGAAGATATGGTTAACTCGGTGTTTGTGATCTTAAAAGATATTTTAGGGAATTCCCTGGCAATCCAGTGGTTAGGACTCTGCATTGTCACAGCCCTTGCCCAGGTTCTATCCCTAGTCAGGGAACTAAGATCCTGCAAGCCTTGTGGCATGGTCAAAAGAAAGTATACAGCCAAATAGAAACATATACATTTATAAAAACCAAAGAGTAAAAAGATTAATTAAAATGTTTCACCCCATTAATTGAAAGATTACCCAAATAAGGCATCTATAAATTTGTTTATTTTTCTTTCTAGAATTATGACTGGACTCCCTAGATAAAATGCACCAACTGACTAAAGGTAATTGCCCTAAGGCTAAAGTGGGGTGGGTAGAGAGAAGGGGGACTTATATAATATCTGTTCAAGTCTCATCTTCTGCTGGATTGTGTAAGTCCCTTGTGGACATAGCCCACATTATATATCTTTTTATTCTCCTATATACTTATCTGAATGTGTTGCAATTGTAAGTAATCAGAAAACACATAAAGGTAATGAAAAACACCTGTGGGTTTCAAATAAATCATATATATTCTGAATATTTTGGCAGTAATGTAAGAGTTTCTAAATCCGTCACTGTGCTGCTAGAACATACATGCTTGTTGACAAAGACCATAAATCTTCATAAAATGTTAGAAAGGGGGAGTAGAAAAATTTTAAATATGTACAAAGACAAACTGTCCTAAAAATACTTTGTTTTAAATAGCGATAGCATCAACATTGCAGAACATAAAAAGCAGATCGTTTCCATCTGAAAAGTTCACAGCTATAAAAAAAGATGATGCTACTTCAGTCCAGACTTGCTAACTGGAATTATCTTCATGTGCTATCCAAAAGCTTACCTACACTTTGATGGGTTTATAGAAAAGAAAAGAAAAAAAAAAATCCTGTGTGTATTCTTTTAGGTTAGTTCCAGAAAATACAGACAGGCCTCCTACACAGATTACGGTGAAGCTGATAAAGTTCAAGCTTCAGGATCCCCGTTTGTACTGGCAGGAAGCTCCAGAAAACAGGCTCATTTGTGTGGGTGTTTTTTTTTTTCTTTTGAGACCTCACGCCTACTCTACCTAACACACACAATTGCATAAGCTTCAAGCTCATAAAAACCTGGACCCATCCTGACAGCCCTCCATTAGAATATTAACATTAAGAAAACTAGGCTAGAATCTGCAAAAACGATCCAAAAATCATTTTTTAATGTCAAGCATTTCTCCATAGTCCCAGCAAAGAGAGGCGAATGGGGTTCAACAGTCTCTTTGGGATATTGTTAGTATTTCTTTTCCCTGGAAACAAAATGAAGTCTTGGAAACCATGACTAGATAAAAGTTACTTTCACTAAATGTAAGTATACATAACCCCAGATAGTTTTAGCTATATAAATTTGGTAATGTATCACACTGAACCAGATTGTTAATGTTCTGAACTTTAAATTTATATTTAAAGTTTTAATTAAACTTTTAATTTAATATCTTTCTTTAAATTTATTTTTAATTGATGCATAATTCACAGTCGATATGGTATTAGTTTCAAGCACACAACATAGTGATTTGATGCCTATATACTGCACGCTCAGTGGCTAAGTTGTGTCTTTGCTGCTCCATGGACTGTAGCCCATCAGGCTCCTCTGTCCATAGAATTTTACAGGCAAGAAAACTGGAGCGAGTTGCCATTTCCTCCTTCAGAGGATCTTCCCTACCTAGGGATTGAACCCACGTCTCCTGAGTCTCCCGCATTGGCACCCGGACTCTTTACCACTGAGCAACCTGGGAAGCCTGTGGACTAATACATTACAAAATTATCCACACAATAAAGAAAAAGAAAAAGAAAAAAAAAATTATCCACACAATAAATGTAGTTACTGTCCATCACCAAAGTTAACAGAACATTGTTGACTATATTAGAACTAAGTACTATATTAGAACTTCAGTACTAAATAAATTATCATTATTGGTGCTAAGTACAACCGGTTAAAATATAAGCCCATCTGATTTCACCCTAAATTCATAAGTATCACAATTCATGAGCATTCATTGTATCACAAAACGAAAGGGTGCGACCAACGTTATATGGTTTAATTAAGGAATTACAGTAAGTCTTATCCAATATTGACTAGATTTGCGACCATTTTTGACAAGAAGATGAAAACAAAATAAACAAACAAACAAAAAACCCTACTGCTATCTCGGCTTTTGGTTACTGAAGCTTTCAAACTCGAAGTAGTGAGTTCTTCAAGGTTAGAGAGAATTTAGGGGGAGGAAACAAGGATACACTCAATCACGTCCCCAGTCCTACCCTTCTCCCGCCCTCTTCTCGTCGTTTGCAACTAGGTCCATCCCTCCGGTGTATATAGTCGCAGCAGCTCATTTTTCACTAGTGAGTAAAGTGGTACTAATACCTAGTTGTTTTTTTTTTTAATATGCTAGTCTGTGATGTTAACTACGCCTACCCTGCTGCTGCTGCTGCTAAGTCGCTTCAGTCGTGTCCGACGCCTACCCTACCCGGGGCTTAACTTTGGGGACTGTCCCTTCCATCCCTGGATCGGTCCGCGGGGCATTCGCGCTCCCCCCTCAAGGTCCCTCAATCCGAGAAGGTCCACGGCCACCTGGCCAGGAGAAGCGCCCTGAGGAAGGTCTCCTTGGAGTGGCCACACCGCCGAGATAAAGCGACCGGGCAAGGCGGGAAGGTGGCCCTACGCACTCCAATAGGACGCAGCCCGTTCCCAGCCGGGGACGCGCCCGACAGGAGGGGGAAGGGAGTGTCGCCACCGAATCCCAGGAAAGGCCGCGGGACCCACCTCCGGCTCCCCCTCGCTCCCGCCCTCGGCCCCACCTCCCCCAGCCTGCACAAAGCCGGCCCGGAGGCGGGGGCCAGGCCTGCTGGGAGGCCGCCCGGACGAGACTGGACCCAGGCCCGGCGCCCCGCGGCTCCGGCCGCCTTGCCCCGGCGCATCTCGAGTTCCCGTCCCGGACGGGGCGGACGCGCCCCCCGGCTGGCCTTAGGAGGCCCGGGAAGCCGGGCTCCCCTCCTTTTCAGGCGACAGTCCCCCGGGGAGGCCAGGCGCACCCGCGCCGTCCCGCTAGCCACGCCCGAGGTGGTGGCCTCCAGCGCGCGGCTCCCAGGCCGTCGGGGCGGCGGAGGCCGGCCGGGCGCGGGGGTGACTCCATAAGTCGCACGCGCCCCTTCGCGCCCAACCGTGGCACAAACTCTGGCGTCAAATCGATCCCCCTCATTTCGAAAGGCCCCCGTCTTCCCGCACCTGCGTTAGGTGGCCAAACAATGCGGGGGCGGGCAGGAGGCGCGGGGAGGCCCGGAAACTGGGGTGGGTTCGGCGCCGCTGGCCCCCGAGGCCCCGGCCGGCCGGCGCCTGGCCTCCCGTCGGGGGCGCACACACGCACACTGTCCGGCCCGGTGCGGGAAGATGGCCGTTTCTGCTTTCAGGATAAAGGCTCTTTGTTGCGCTCACACAAAAGCCGCCAAGACCCGCTTTTCCAGCAGGCCCTTTGGGCAAATGGAAGGAACGCAGCTGAATTTTCCAAATGGCCCTCGGTGCCCGAAGCGGTGGGAGCTACTAAAAGAGAGGGGGAATAAGAGGCCTCCCGCCCTCTTCTACCGAAACCTCTGCCAATATCCGAGGATTCGTCCTGGGAGACCGGGGCTGAGATCTTTCATAAAGGGAGGAAGGAAAGAGGAAAACCTACTTTTACTATCAAGGCCCAAAGGGGATATTAAACATTCACATTCTTGCAGGGTTTCTCCCCTTAACCAGGGTAGAAACATAATCTGGAAAAGTCTGGATACACCAAAAAGAAAAAGAAAGGGGAAAAAAAAATTACCAACAATAGCAACTTAAAAAAAAAAAAAATAACAAACCAGTTGCCATCAGCCCAAAGTGGTAGTAGCAGCAGCCGGCGCGTGTGATCCACTTACTTGTCCGACTCTTGTGACATGTTTGATCCAATGAACTCGCTCCCCTTTTCCTGGAGCCTCAGCCTCTGGTGAAACTGGACTTTCAAGTCTGTGCAGGTGAAGGTGTGTGAGAGCGCCCGAGATGGCAGAACAAGAGCTACAGGTAATTCTGCTTTTCCGTCCCCCCTCACCACTCTCGCTCGCTCGCCCGCTCGCGCCCTCACCTAGCCGGAAAGGTGGGATAAGGGGGGGGCCCCCTCACATGGGGCCCGAGCTCGGAGGCGGCCGGGCGGCGCGGAGTCCCTCCCGGATCGTGGCAATGGGCAGCCACAGAGCAGAAAGTGGCGGACTTGGGCGGCCACAGGTAACTTTCTCGCAAGGAGCTGAATTCTTTCACTAAAGGCTACGAGCCCGAGGGACGAGCTGCGCGGTGATTGGCTGCGGAGCTCCCTCAGGTGAGCTGCCATTGGCAGAGGCGCGCTCAGGTAAGGCCCTTCTCCAAGTGCAGGTAACTCACTCCGAAGTTTACCTGAGTGGAGCGGCGGCACGCTTGCAGCCCAGCGGCGGGCCGTGGGAGCTGAGGGTCGGTGTTTGGAGCAGACTTCGTGCTACGTTTCCCTTCTTCCCGGAGGCCGGCCTGGGGTGAGGGGTTGGGGGACCTTGAAGGAGAGAAGTTAACCAGGAAAAAGACAAACAAACCCAACACCTGCAACCACTAGGGATTGTGGGTCGAACGGAAGGACTAAGGAGCGCTGAACTCGGGTGTCCCAAGCCAACCGGAATCAAATGCGCAGCACAACCACGAGGCTTTTAATACCCACATTAAGAGGACACTATTGGACAGTGTCAGAAGAGTAGGGGACTCAAGTTTACGTTGTGCTCCGAGGGGGCGAAAAGCACGAAGATCGCCAAGTCTGTTACGTAATTGCATTTTTAACATTCTTATCCACAACAAACAACATGTCATGTCCCAATGTGCAAAAGATATGGTAGACGGCTAGACATAAATAGATTAGCAGACACGACTTAGCTACTGAACAGCAGCAGCATCCTTTCTTGACCTCGGCGGGTAGGGAGTGGCTGGTTTTGATGGGATGAAGAAATTTGGTTGAAGAGACACTCAAATGGCTCAGGCGCACCTCTTCCATCTCAATTCTGCAGCCCAGGATTGCAGAGCTGCAAATCACTGAATCCCTTCCATAAACCTTTTGTCATTTGACGTTTCCAGGCAGGCATCAACATTTACATTGTAATTCAATAGAAGCAACAACTACAAAGGTGCTTTTATCCTTCCAGCTTAATATGGTTGCTACGGAAACAATTCAGGATGAAACTGACTTTTTGCAGTTTTGTTGCCCCTGGTTGAGAGCAGCAAATTTGCAAAACTGTAATTTATAACAATGAGTACTTGTGTAAATTCTGACAGTAATCTAGCCCATGCATATTAATTGTAGAAACAGAGAGGGCATGGAAATTTTATTATAATTTATTTCGAGTTAATACTACGTTGGCAGAGATGAAATAACTTCCATTTTAATCTGTATGGATCATATATTTCCTGCACATAACATTGTGAGGCAAGGTTTGGCTGCTCCATGTTTCATTCTCAACAAATGAATTTCAGGATTTTTTTCTTTTTAAATACAGTATAAGCACGCACACTATCGTTTGTAAGATAATACAGTACTTTAAGGTAATGCAAATCCTACTTTCATGTACCTTCTTAACCTCCTGTCTAGAGGCTACCAAATTCCACTTTTAGCAGTCCATTCTGTCATTACCTTCCTATTTCTAATAATTTGTGCATCGATCCCTTGATTTATCAATTTTGATAACAGGTGCTTTGATGACCTGTTGCCTTAGATAAGGACTTAGCTCTTTCAAGCCCTGTCCAGTTTCATCTTCCACCATTCTTCCAATGTATCTCTTTCACAGCTTAGGCATAGCAAGTAGTCAAGTAGGTGTAAGTGTTAGTTGCTTAGTCATGCCCTACTGTTTGCAACCCCATGGACTGCAGCCCACCAGGCTCCTCTGTCCATGAGATTTTCCAGGCAAGGATACTGGAGTGGGTTGCCATTTCCTTCTCCAGGGGATCTTCCCAACCCAGGGATCGAACCCAGGTCTCCTGCACTGCAGGCAGATTCTTTACCCACTGAGCTACAAGGGAAGCCCAGTGACTGTGCAAATACTAGTGACAACAGAACCAACTATTGTACTATGCTTGTTTTCTTATTTTTTAAAAAAAGCTTTTATCTATTTACTTAGTTTGTGATGTTTCCCATCTGATATTTTTTTTCTACAACATGTCTATCAAATGACTGTCACATTTATTTTTCAAATGATCAATCAATCCTACCCCCCATACCCCCAAATATCCTTCCAAAAGTCCACTGCCTTTCTGTTCCAATGGAGATGAGCTCCTCTCTGGACCTGCTACTCAGTTGTCATCTTGGGACAATCCTTGATCTCCAGAGTAAGAGCCCCATTTCTCTGTCCTGTGACTTTTTGCTTGGTTTGCTGCTTCATTTTTGCCATGGCATATGTTTCAGTAGTAGCCCAAGAATGGGTTCAGAAGGTAAAACTTATTCAACTTTCTTTTTTTTTTCCCAACTCTTTCTTTTGAAAGAGTTTGACCAAGTGTCAAATTCTAAGTTGAAGTTTTTCATTCATAAAAATTTCTCTTTTATCTTCTAGCAGCCAATGTTGCCATTTAGAATTCTGATGCCATCCTGAGTCCCATTCCTTTGTGACCTAGAATTTTTCTTCCTAAAAACTCATAGAATAATCTATCTCTGATATTCTGAGATTTCATAATTATGTTACCTAATATTCTGAAATTTCAGTATGTTGGAAGCTTTCATCAAATGTTTGCAAACCTTCAACTGTCGCTTCATACTTAAGAATGAGATCTTAAAACCCCTCTGGAAACTACACATAGTGGTGGGAGGAAGGGTTATTGCTCACTGATGGGCTTGCTGTGTGGTGATCGTGTTCGTCTTTCCTTAGGAAGATTCCCCAAATATCAGAAAATAGATGTCTTTTGTTCTGGGCTCTTCAGCATCTCAAGAGAGATATCTGCCATCCCTTAGCTGAGGGCACATTCTCCTGGCTGCTGATATTCTCAGAACAGGTCAGAAGAGATCCAGAGCAGTCACTACTCAGTATGCAGTTTCTTTCTTTCCTGTAGGTGCTTTAGTCCTGCCCTTCTTTCCGCCAGATGCACAAGCCTCTCCTGTATTTCCTGAAGTGAAGTGAAGTGAAATCGCTCAGTCGTGGCCCACTCTTTGCGACCCCATAGACTGTAGCCTACCAAGATTCAGTCCATAGGATTTTCCAGGCAAGAATACTGGAGTGGGTTGCCATTTCCTTCTCCAGCGGATCTTCCCGACCCAGGGATGGAACCCGGGGCTCCCGCATTGCAGGCAGACGCTTTACCGTCTGAGCTACTAGGGAAGCCCCTGTCATTGTAATCATCTGGCTGCAGGAAGTGGGACAGGGAACCTGAGGATCTAACAAGTCCAAATATCCACATTCACTCAGCTCTCAGCCTCTCACCTCTCTCTCACTTCTGATAATCCTGTGACCTCTCCTTAGCATCTCTCTCATGATCTCTGGCATCTCCAAGACCTGGTCCAATCTGGTGTTTTATAGAATAATCTCTTGGGCTGTTTCTATACTGACCTCTAGGATGTCATTAGAGTAGCTTCTGATGTTCTGTTAAGCCAGTTTCCACTCTTCCATTCATCCCCATCTTCCAGAATTGGGCTGAGATATATCTTTTGCAGATGACTCCAGCCCCATCCTCTTTGTCCCTGTGAATTTATCTTCTTACTTTCCTTTACTGTCCTTTTCAGGAGACAATGAACCTAAACAAGTATGGGTCAATCTGCCATCTGTAATCTGAAGCCATTTCCAAAACCATCCAAAAACTTTTACCCAACTCTCCCAAATTTGTTTGTGCAAACAAAACTAGAGTTTATGAGCAAACCATGCCTTTGTTTGGTCAATGGTGCCCAAGATTCCCATCTTTCTCACCAATATCTAATAACTCAGCCTTGACTGCCTTGCTTAGTATGCCCTGTTGGACTACCTACTGCTATATTGTTTGGCTAGATTCATGAAGGAGAAGGTCCTCGTGAACAATTTAAAATCATCAACAATGAAGTTAACTCTGTTACCCGATTGAAGTTTTTTTAAATTTTTATTTATTTTAAACTTTTTATTTTGTATTAATATTGGGGTATAGATGGTTAGCAATGTTGTGATAGTTTTAGGTGAACAGTGAAGGGACTCAGCCATATGTATACTATTTATTTATTTACTTATTTTTGACTGTGCTGGCTCTTCATTGCTGCACGGGATTTTCTCTAGTTGCAGGGGCTGGGCTGGGGGCTACCTACTCTTTGCTGCAGTGCTTGGACTTCTCACTGCGGCGGCTTCTCTTGTTGAGGAACACAGGCTCTAGGGCACACGGGCTTCAGTAATTCCCATGTGCGGGCTCAGTAGCTGCGGCTCCTGGGCTCTGGAGTAGAGGCTCAAGTTGTGGTGCTCAAGCTTAGTTGCTTCAAGGCATGTGGAATCTTCCGAGACCAGGGGTCAAACCCATGTCTCCTGCATTGGCAGGCAGATATTCTTTACAGTGAGCCACCAAGGAAGCCCCAGGTTACCCAATTGTTTTGATTCTGTTGGCAAAATAGTTCTAAGTGACTAGAAACCTTGCCACACCCAACATGAGAATGTACTTCTCTCTCTTTCTCAAACATCTTTCTCCATAAACTCTTAAGTGCAGCAGTTGTTCCCAATGTGTGGTCCCTGGACAGACCATCAACATCAGATTACCTGGGAGCTTGTGAAAAATGTAAATTCGCCAACTCACCCCAGGCCTCAAGAAACTCGTCTGTGTGTCTAGCAAGTCCTCCAGGTGATTCTGATGTAGGTTAGAGTTGGAAACGCATCAGTACTGAATGCTGACGGGAGGAAGTAGCCCCTCACTAGCCATTGAAAACCATCTTGTAAATTATGCTGTATTTGGAGTTTTCCAGCAACTTGCAGCAACCATGGGGTAGGCAGTCGATTTTGCCTGTCT